GTTTGGCAGCGCGCACTCTAATGTGAGACGCTGTCTTTTGGTTTGGGCGGGAGGGGTCGGCGCGACGGGTGGCGGATACACCAGGGCGCCCTGTCGCGAGGAAGGCGCCGCCGGAGGGCATCGGCTCGGCACTGTTTTGGCTGGGTCGAGCGACTGGAGGAGGGAGGAGGGGTCGGATGGTGTAGGTGGAGCCCACGGCATTCACTGTGAGTGCTCTGTTCTTTCCTTTGCAACCCGTTGTGGACCGGGCGCGTTGATGTTGTGGTGCATGTCCCCGCGCAGCGGCGCCCGAGACGAACGGTGGCGAGTGTAGCCCCGCTCTTCGGTCCGCGCCCGCATTCCCTGCCGTGTTGGTGAACTCTTGAGGCACGTGGCCACTGGAGCAGACCGTGGAGTTGTTTTATGGAAGGCCGTCTCTTTGTGCCATCATTCGTGATGCTCGAGTCATAGTGAGGGGGTTGTATGGAGGAGGTGAGGGGGGAAGTTTATCTCATCCTTGTGGCCGTGATCTGGTATCGCCCTCGGTGGGGGCACTGTTTCTGCGCGTGTTGCACTGCTGCACGCTCGCCGATTCAACGCGCCGAGCGTGTCAGCCGTTGCGAGCGCGTTGACCGCCCTCGCCCTCGCCCAGGCAGCCGGGCTGAGGAGGGATCTCCACGGCAGTCATTTTCGGCATGATGATGGTGAGGATGTGGAGGAGGGAGCCAGAGGTGATGAATGGTGGGGTGGGGGAGGAGGCTGAAGCCATGCGAAGCATTGAAACTCGCGCGTGCACGCGCGACCAAATAGCCAGTGAACGACATCGGCTGCAATGCTTGTTGTGGTCGTGTTTCTGTGGGCATTCTTGGGGGATGTGCTTGAGACTGGCTTAAGGCTGGCTTTTGATTGAATGCCGGTTTTTCATTCGTAGATCTTTTGGGGAGGCAGCGTTTTGGATTCATATACCACTCGAAGCTTTATCCTCCTGCGTGCACGCGATACTCAGCAGCCATGGATCGACATCGACTGCACGCTTTTTCGGCAGTTCTGGTTATCTTCAGTTCGGGATGTTGGAGGTGGAGGCCTTTCAGGTGGTGTAATGTGGTGGTGGAGAGTGGATTCATCGTGACTAGGTCGTATCTGCAGTGTGTCTTTATAAGTTCCCTCGGTGAGGGCATCGTGTACTCTCTGAGCATCTTCACATCGGCCCTTTGAGTTTTTCCGCCACTTGGGCGGGCATCGGTACATTGGCCCAGTCCTACCGCAGACACTGGCAGGAGGAACATGGGAAGGTGGTGGAGCGGAGGAGATTTTCGCACTGGCGCCGTTTGGGCGCCGTAGCCAGCAGCCACCAGAATACCAACAGCTTGCCACGTCCGCCAGCCACTCAGGGCATCTTACATTAGCCCTCGCAGCACTGCCCTCGGTCAGGGCCTGGGACTGGGTTGCTAGAGGTGACGGAGGTAGAGGTGGGAAGAGCACTGCCAGCAGATCTACACGCAATCCCTCGGCGAGGGCTTTTTCAGCATGTTGGTGGGGGGTGAGAAGGAGTGGGACTTCGCCGCCTAGCTGGCGCATGCTCTGTGCCCTTGCGGGCCCGCTGTCTTTCTCCATATCTTCGCGCCTCTCTTTTTGCCGCTGCGCCAGCCAGACCTAATTTGATCGTCGCATCGCTTAGTCGGCCGATTTTTATTTAACGCCACAGGCTGTGTCTTAAGGTTTGCCCAGCGTCAAAAAGGAGGAGGAGGAGGAGGAGGAGGAGGAGGAGGAGCAGGAGGAGGAGGAGGAGGAGGAGGGACCCGTTGCCCGCCCGGCTTGCGCAGGCCTCTGGGGGGCGCTGGGGCGCTGATCCCAACCGTCCCCCAGTGCTTTTCCTGCGTCTGGGGCGCTTGCCGCCGGCTTCGGGGCCTGCTTTGCCTCCAAATGAGAGCTCCGAGAGTGTCCCCCCCTCCTTGTCCGCACGCTCTGAGCGGATTTTTTTCTCCGCCCCTCCTGTGCCGCCGCGTCGTCGTACCCCCGTGCATGTCGGTCACTGAAAGTAGGTATTTTTGGCCTCCCAGATCCCAATCCACTTCTGGCGCTTTCCTACTTCAAGAATAGGCATGGTCTTGCTGTGTTTTGTTCTTCTCTGGAAGGGCCTGAATCCGTTCTACTTGATCCGCCTTCCTACTTCGTGTTTTTTTACCTACTTCTTTCGACCGACGTGTATGATTCCAGCGCGCCCCGCCCGTTGCTTTGACCGGCACCTGCACCGGCCTCCGGCCCGCTTGTGCCTGCGGGCCTAAACACCCTCCTCCCCGGGAAGCAGAGCGACGGGGCCTTTGTAGGCAGCTGATCACATGAACATGAGCTTGTGGAGGTCTGTGCGGATTTCTCGGATCGGCGCTGGCCCTCCCCCCAGCCAGCTCCCCTGGCGCCGATCCCAAAGACCCGCGCTGACCTCCAATAGTCATTCTTATGCTCATGCTTTTTTGTGTCTATGCTCTGCCCCTCCTCCCTCCCCCCTGCCCCCTCGGTGCTTCGGCCGCAGGGCGCGCCCCCCGACCCCTTCCCCGGCCTGCTTATGGTCTTTCTCGCGAGTGGTATTTGTCGGTTCGGGGGCCTGGCCAGGCCCCCAGAGGCCGAAAACGACGAACACCTGCCGCCCTTCTCCTCTAGTGCGTTGGATGTCTGTCGAGTCTGGATTCCCCCACTTCGGCGCGGGCTTTTCGAAACCGACGGCGCGTCACTCTATGCGCGGGGGCCCTGCTGCGGGCCGTTCGGGGCGCCCCGCGAGTGGTGCGAGCGGGGGTTGATCGCACCGGAACCCGCCACAGAGGCCCGAGCGTTGTAAATTTTCAGTTTTCATACTTGTACATGGCCAAAACGTCGCGGGATCTTGCCGATGCCGATCTTGATAATGGTCCGTATCGGCTGTCGCCGATTCGCGAGCATGGTCCACGTATTGACGCTGACCAATATCGACGGTGACCAAGATGGACGCGACATTTCCGCATTCGGTCTTGGTCAGGGTTCTTGTTTTCTTCCCCTCCAGTCTGGGCGCGAGGCGCAGCGATGGGTCGGCGGCAACATCGAACCACACCCTCGCCGATCAACTTTTCAAGCAACTCGAGGGGCGGCCGGGGTAGGGTTCGGAACTCGTCGAGCACGTGGCGACATCAGAACCCCGCCCCCCGCCTCCCATCGATTCAGGAAGGTCGATGGCTGGTGAGGGGCGGGGCTCGGATGTCGCCACCTGAGCGACGGAAGAAAACGCGACGGAAGAAAACGGGGTCGTCTTCGCCGACATTGGCGCGTAAGCTGCCCGCTTAAGGTCGCGCGTAATTGCCCTCGTCTCCAAGGAGGCGTGCCGCGCCGGCGGCCTGCGTAAGTCGCGGCGTAATGTCGCTGTGCCATCTCTCGTAAGAGAATGTTTTTGTTGCCCTCTGGGCCACAACGCGCGTTATGCTCCCTACCCTCCCACCTTGCCCCCCTATAACGTCACGCTCCCCCCCCATCAGTGTGTCTTCGGCACTGCCGCAGTGCGTCTGGCACCACCGTTTGGGGGGGGGGGCGCTACGTTAATTATGCCCCCATCCCGCCCCCCCTCCCCTTCCTCCTGACAACGCCCGTTATGGCCGCGAATAAAAAACATGCGCTCGTTTGAGGGTCAAGGCTTTGGGATGTCTCTGTGCCTCTTTGGGGCCTCCGGCTGGCTCTTTTTGGGACGAGGGAAAAGGGAAGATTGATGAGGTTATTGGACGTCTCTGGCCTCTCTGGGCCCCGCCTCCCCCCTCATAACGCTTGTTATGGCCGCGAATAAAGAAACACATGCTCTAAGACCCATTCCTTTTTCGTCGCCCACCTGATGGGGCCTCCCCCGGCCGAGGCGCCGGCGGCGGCGGGCACGAAGGGCAAGAAGGAGAAAAAGGCTGCCAGCGCCCCCTCCTCGCGCCGCCCGGGGCCGAGGGCCAAGGGCGACATCGGCGAGGAGGAGGAGGAGGAGGAGGAGGAGGAGGAGGAGGAGGGGGAGGGGGAGGAGGAGGAGGAGGAGGCGGAGGAGGAGGAGGAGGAGGAGGAGGAGGAGGAGGGGGAGGGGGAGGAGGAGGAGGAGGAGGAGGAGGAGGAGGAGGAGGAAGACTAATAATAAGAAGACGAATAATCTGACTAATAAGAAAACGATTGAGAAGACTAATATTAAGAATAAGCATAATAATAATACGAATAATAAGACGACGCATACTGAGAAGACTAATAATACTGAGAAGACGAATGAGAAGAAGAGGAACAATAATACTAATGTTATTAATAACAATAAGAAGAATCAAACTAATACGAATAAGAATGCGACTGCGAATACTGATAGTAAGAAGAATAATAATAAGACGACACGTAAGAATAATACTAATAATACTAATAATACGAACAAGAAGAATAGTAAGACGAATATTACTAACAATAATAATACTATGAATAATAGTAAGAAGTCGAATACTAATTATACGAATAATAATAATGATAAGAATAAGAGGATGAATCATAATAATAACACTACTAATAATGATAAGAATAATGTTAACACGAAGAAGAATATTAATAATAAAAAGAAGAATCGTAACACTAATAATAATACTAATAACAATAAGAACAACAATAGTACTAATAATAATAAAGCCAACAATTATAATTTTAAGAATAAGAAGACGAATACTAATACTAAGAACAGTAATGATATTATTAATATTAACCATAATGATAATAGTAATAATAATATTGTTAATACTACTAATAATACTAATACAATAATAATAACACTACTAATAAGAATAGTTTTACTAATAGTACTAATACTACTAGTAGTACTAATACTAATAATACTTATACTAATAACAGCACTAATACTCATACTAATACTAATACTAATACTAATAATACTGATAATACAACAACTTATAATACTACTAATAATACTAAGAAGAATAACATTACGAATAATAAGAAGAAACACAATACGAATAATAATAATAATAATAATACTACGAAGACTACTAGTAATAATAATAATAGTAATACTACTACTAATAATAATATTAATAATAATAATAATGATTCTAATAATAGTAATAATAATAAGAATAATAATAAGAATAACAATACGAATAATACTAATAATAATTCTACTACTAATAAGAAAAACAATAATAATAATACTAATAAGAAAAATAATAATAATACAAATGCTAATAATAATATGAAGAAGAAGAAGAAGAGGAGGAGGAGGAGGAGGAGGAGGGGGAGGGGGAGGGGAGGAGGAGGAGGAGGAGGAGGAGGAGGAGGAGGAGGAGGCGGAGGAGGAGGAGGAGGAGGAGGAGGAGGAGGAGGAGGAGGAGGAGGAGGGGGGGCGGGCCACGCTCGCCAGCCGCCCGAGGCCACCACTGGCGGGCTCGGTGCGACCTCGCCGCTCCGTCCCTGCGTGGTCCTCCTGCTGCTCCCCCCCTGGGGTCTGAAGACGCTCGTCCCGACCTCTTCCAGTATGTCCCCGGAGGACGTCCGCTCCTCCTCGTCGCTTCCTGCCGCTCCGCCTCGTTGGGCCCGAGTACGTTCTCTCCTCCTCCTCCTCCTCCTCCTCCTCCTCCTCCTCCTCCTCCTCCTCCTCCTCCTCCTCCTCCTCCGCCTCTTTCGGTGGACGTCCACTGAGCGCCGCGCGGATCCTGGCCCAGACCATCCTGGGCCCAGGCAGGATCAGTCAGGTGGTCAGTTGACGCCGCCCAGCTAGGATCAGTGAGGTGGTCAGTTGACGCCCCCCCGCTCGTGCTCGTCGTCGTCGTCGTCGTCGTCGTCGTCGTCGTCGTCGTCGACGTCGTCGTCGTCACCGTCGTCGTCGTCGTCGTCGTCGTCGTCGTCGTCGTCGTCGGCGGCGTCGTCGTCGTCGTCGTCGTCGTCGTCGTCTTCATCGTCGTCCTCGTGGTGGTGGTCCTCGCCGTCGTTATCGTCGTCGTCGTCGTCCTCCTCCTCCTCCTCCTCCTCCTCGTCGAAGTGCAGCCCTGATTGGCCCCCGAGGGGCCGCGCGAGCTTTACTCAAGAGACCACTCGGGCCTGGATGCAGCTCACAGCGAGGTGCAGTGCCGCGATGACAGCTCCTCCCTCCTCCCTCTCCCACAACGTAACGCTCCCTCCCTCATTGCGTTCCCGGCACTGCCGCAGAGCGTCTGGCACCGCCATCTGCGCTACGTTATGCCACCTCCCGCCCCCCCCCGTCCTCCCCATAACGCCCGTTGTGTCCGCGAATAAACACATGCGCTCGTTTGAGGGTCAAGGCTTTTGGACGTCTCTGGGCCTCTTTGGGGCCTCTGGCTGTTTTTTTTGAGGAGGAAGGCGGCGGCGGACGATGGCAGTGTCGTGAAGATGTGGTCAACTCTAGTAAACTCTGGTGTGAAAAATCCCAGAGGAGGATGCGGAGGAGGAGGAGGAGGAGGAGGAGGAGGAGGAGGAGGAGGAGGAGGAGGAGGAGGAGGAGGAGGAGGAGAGGAAGAAGAAGAAAAAGGAGAAGAAGATGAGGGAGGAGGAGGAGGAGGAGGAGGAGGAGGAGGAGGAGGAGGAGGAGGGGAGGAGGAGGAGGAGGAGGAGGAGGGAGGAGGGAAGAGGGAGGAGGGAGGAGGTTTTTGGACACATCTGGGCCCCTTTGAGGCCTCCCGCGGGCTTCTTCTCGCCCTGGCTGGCCAGAGCCGCGCCAGCGTGCCGACAGGCCAAAGCGTGCCCCACTGGAGGGGGTCATGGGCTCGGCTCCGGACGGGGCCGTTTTGAGGCCGCTTGGGGGCCGTTTTGGGGCTTTCTGTGGCTTCTTCGGGGTCTCTTGGGGCCTCTTGGGGGCCTCCTTGGGGCCTCCTTGAGGCCTCCTTGGTGCCTCTTGGGGCGGAAGTCTCAGATGTGCTGTTCGTGTTCCTGTTCCCCTCTTGGGCCCTTCTTGGGGCTGTCTTTGGACCATCTTGGGCTGTCTTGGGCGCCTCTGGGGCCGTCTTGGAGCCCTCTTGGGCCGTGTTGGGGAGCACGCTCCTGGGCCCGCATGCTGGAGAAGTCGCGGCACGGGGGCCCACCGCCAGCATGTAGCCACATCCGCTGCTTCGGAGTCTTGCCCTGGGATCTCGAGGAGTGGTGGATATTCGGAGGTTGAAAGACCTCCTACCCTGACACGTCGATTGAGAGATTGGCCGTTTTCGGTTCGCGGGAGGGCGTCGCGACCATCATTCTTGCGGGTCCAGGTCCGTCGGCTTCGGTCCCAGGCCGTTTTCACTGAGGGTAGGTTTACTACAGGAGGTTTGTCCACCGCCGGGATGTGGGCATCTGCCCGCCCGCATGGGCGGCCGGATATCCATGTCCGTCGCCCCGCGATTCCTTGGGGTACGACCCCGTGGCAGTGGACGTGGACATCTTCTGGCGGCGCAAGACGGTGGTCCGAGCCCTCCTCCATCGGGGGAGGAGTGAGGAGGACGAGGTATACCGATACCGCTACCCTTTGGCCTGGGAGGCCCTCGTCGCCACCGCGGGGTTCGCCTCGGCATCCTGGTCGGAACGCATCCCGGGAGAGGTCCAGCGAGTATCGGTATCGGTACTTGTTAGGTTTCCCAGGAGGTGGAGGGAGTACGTAGGCGTAGGTGGAGGAGGAGGAGGAGGAGGAGGAGGAGGAGGAGGAGGAGGAGGAGGAGGAGGAGGAGGAGGAGGAGCAGGAGCAGGAGCAGGAATCAAGGCTTTCGGGCCTCCCGGGGCCCCAGGGGGCCTCTGGAGACTTCTCGGGACTTCTCGGGGCCTCCTGGGACCTCCAGAGGTCTCTTCCTCGTCCTCTTCGCGTCGTCCTCCTCCACCTTGTTGTCCTCGACTTCCTCCCGCCTCTCTCCTGCTTCCCCGTCGTCGTCCTTCTCCACCTCCTCCTCTTCCTCCCTGTCTTTTCTCCCACGTGTCTTCCCACTGCTGTTTCCAGCTCGCAAGATTCGCCAGGGCCGCGCTCCGATACCATTGCAGCGGGGATATTCTGGCCAGGGTCTTTGAGTCCTGTGTGCAGGGGAGGTGGAGGGGCATGTGAGTATGAGGAGCGGGATGAGGATGAGGAGGAGGAGGAGGAGGAGGGGGACGAGGCTGAGGATTACTACGACGACGACGGCGACGACGATGATGATGACGAGGAGGAGGAGGAGGAGGAGGAGGAGGAGGATGAGGATGAGGAGGACGACGAGGCTGGTGATGCTGCTGTTGCTGACGATGATGGTGATGATGACGACAACGATAACGATAACGATAATGATGACGATGCTGATGATGCTGATGATGATGATGCTGCTGCTGTCGCTGATGATGCTGCTGCTGCTGATGATGAGCATGCCAGTGATGATGTCGATGATGATGCTGATGATGATGCTGATGGTGATACATCTGATTCTGATTATGCTGCTTCTGCTGATGATGACGACGATGAAGGTACTTATGATGAGGATGACGAGGATGACGATGACGATGATGATGGTGATGATGATGACGATGCTGATGCTGCTGATGATGATGCTGACGATTATGATGCTAAGCATCAGTATGATGCTGCTGCTGGTGATGATGATGCTGATGGTGTTGATGGCGATGATTATGATTATGATGATGATGCTGATGATGATGATGATGCTGATGATGATGATGATGATGATGGTGGTGGTGATGATGATGATGATGATGATGGCAAAGATGATGCTGATGATGCTGACAATGATTCTGACGATGATTCTGCTGCTGATGATGCTGATGCGGGTGATAGGGGCGGTGGTCGTTGTGATAATGATGCTGATGCTGATGATGGTGTCGATGCTGATGACTGGTGCTGGTACAAATTACGATGATGCTGATGATGATGCTGCTGATGATGTGACGATGATGATGATTATGATGATGATGATGATGATGATGATGATGATGATGATGATGATGATGATGATTGTGGTGATGGTGATTCTGATGCTGGTGATGCTGGTGAGGATGATGCTGATGCTGATGATGTTGATGCTGATGATGGCGTCGAGGATTCTGTTGATGCTGATGATGATGACGAGGAGGATGAGGAAGAGGAGGATGATGATGATCGGTGATGACGATGATGCTGCTGCTGCTGATGATGATGATGCTGATGCGGACGATGAATTTGAGGGTTATGATGCTGACGATGCTGCTGATGATGATGCTGATGCTGTCGATGCTGATGACGGTGCCGATGTCGATGTCGATGATGACGATGACGATGACGATGGTGATGCTGATGATGATGATGATGATGATGATGATGATGATGATGATGATGATGATGATGATGATGATGATGATGATGATGCTGATGATGATGATGATGATGATGATGGTGGTGGTGGTGGTGGTGATGATGATGATGATGATTGTGACGATGCTGATGATGATGATGATGATGACCACGATGGTGATAATGCTGATGATGATGACCATGATGCTTGTGGTGATGGTGGTGGTGATGATGATGACGAGGATGACCAGGAGGAAGATGATGCTGATTCTGATGATGATGATGATGATGATGATGATGATGATGATGATGATGGTGGTGATGGTGGTGATGACTAGGATGAGGATGATGCGCGCGCGCCTGCGCGCGCGCGTGTGTGTGTGTGTGTGTGTGTGTGTGTGTGTATGCGTGTGCGTGTGTGTGTGTGTGTGTGTGTGTGTGTGTGTGTGTGTGTGTGGAGGGGGGGGGGGGAAGGAGGAAAAAGAGGAGGAGGACGACGACGAGGAGGAGGATGACAATGACGGGGGCAAGGGGAGGTGGAGGAATGGGGGATGGCGAGGATCGATGGGGGAGGGGGAACGATGAGGAGTTGGAGGAGGAGGAGGAGGAGGAGGAGGCGGAGGCGGAGGCGGAGGAGAGGAGGAGGAGGAGGAGGAGGAGGAGGAGGAGGAGGAAGAAAGAACAGTCATAATAATAACACTAATTTAAAAAAGTATCACACACATAGTAATCAAACAAATAATACGAAACATCATAAGAATCAGCATGCCAAGATCAATACTAAGAGTACTATTCATAATGATAGTGTTACTTCCAAATAATACGAACCATGATAATACAAATATGCTACTACCAATCAGAATAATAATGATCATAATAATAAGAAGAGGAAGAGGACGAGGTGGAGGCGGAGGCGGAGGCGGAGGCGGAGGAGGAGGCGGAGGAGGAAGAGGAGGACGACACAGAGGAGGCGCAGGGACCAGGGTTACGGCCTTTGGTGAATTAGCTCTGCGGGCTGATTCGCGGGAAGTTCTGCACGCCCCCGCGAAGCCCGGCCTTGTCAGCAGGTTGAGGTCGAGAAGATCCCGAAGCCCATCCTGTCCGACGAGTCTGGCGAGGTGTTCGTGACCGAGGCCCCCCCCCTGGACGCCCTCCCTTCCAATGTCTCCTCGGTCATCTCCTCCTCCCTTCTAGGCCTCCTGGATGGGGTCGGAGTGGATGGGGTCGGAGGATCGTGCCGCATCGCCGATGCAGCGGCGATGCGGCTCAATGTGGAGCCCGATTCTCTTCACGCCGACGTCGCCGATGCGTCGCCGACGTCGGCGATGCGGGGCGATCCTCCAACCCCATCTACTCGGACCCCATCCAGGAGGCCTCTATTCCCCCACCCCCCAAGCTGTCCCTCCCAGCCGCTCCCTTCTACTCCTCCCTGCGCAATCCCACCGCCAGATCCGAGCCTGGAGCTGCTCCCCCTTCTCTCTCCCCCCTTCCCCCTGGGTCTTCTCTTGCCCCTCCCCCTGCCCCTCCCAGAGTTCCCCCCGTCCCCTCTTTCCCTTCCGGCCTCCCCCTCCCCCTCCTTCCCTCTGCTCCCTCCTTCCCCCCCCCTCTCCTTTTCGCTTCTCCCCCTCCTCCCCTCTTCCCCCTTCTCCCCCCCCCCCCCTCTCCCCCTCCCCTCCTTCCCCCTTTCCCACACGGGCCCGGAAGAAGACGGACGGATTCTCTCGGAGGGGCTGCGGCCCCACCGCCCGTCCCCCTCTGTGAAGGTGCCCCGCGCGCGCGCGCGGAGCGGAGTCGGCGCTCGCCTCGCCTCGCCTCGCCTCGCCTTCCCCGTCTGCCTATCCCCTCTGGCCTCGCTCGGACGTGTGCATTTTTTCTCGGCGAGGGCCATCGAGGAGCATCCTTGATCATTTGGCTAAAAAAACCAGGCACGAAACCGAAAAAAACACAGGGAATGGACGTCCGAGCGATGGCGAGTCCCCGCCTTGTTCTATCCAATGCTCTCTAAATCGGAAGCTGGAACGTGTACATTGCCAGTGGCGGGCTGTTTTTCAATCCCAGGATATATCGAGGGTCGAGGACGACGCTTGGGTGGTGTATATTTTTTCCCCGAAGTCCCGGGTGAAAGGCCAAAACATGCATACACAGGGGTCCCGTATACACCAGGATCCGCTCTCCCGTGCAAATTCTGATGCAGGGCCTGAAGAAGCGCCGGTGAAAAGAGTTCGATTCCCTACTAAACGCCCCACATCTTCCGTCTCGCTGCCGCCCGCCACAGGGTGTTGATGGCTCAGGCTGCACACGCCGCTTCAGTGCTAGTGAGTGCTGTCTGTCTGAGCACAGCAGCAACGAAAGCAACTTAAACGGATTGTGAGTATCATATCATTGTCATGGTCATGCTTGATGCCTGAGTGCACCGCGAAGGTGATAATACGCCTGTTGGGCAGGATCTCGTTGACAGGGAACTTTTGAGCCGCCGGCATCGCGAAGCAGACAGTACAGAGATCACATCGGTAGGGAGATAAACCATACCCAGCGCAGTAGCCCGACAACGAGAGGCTCAAAACATCCAGCGGGGAGCCCGACCGTCGATCGTACTCCACACCGACACGCCGCCAGAGGCACGGGCGTGCGGGCCCGTGGAGGAGGACCCGGGCGGGGGACGAACGAGGGCGATCCGTCCTCTGCCCGTTGTCCTCTTGGCCCTCGCCCTTCCCTGTGGCCAGGAACGCCAGCTCAGTGCGTGGCGCCGTCGGTTCTGGCCCACCCACCGCCATTCGGTGCCACACGCCGAGTGCGTCCCGCTCTCGGATCATCAAAGCGTCCCGAGCCTTTCCCAGCCTCCCCTCCCACGAGGCAGCGCGACACGCCTCCGGCCTGCGAGAGACAGCGAGTGGCAGGGGCCGCCGCCGCGACGCCGAGCAGAGGCTCCTGGCCGTAATCTCCGAGGCCCATGGTGACTTCCGCCTCCGCGTTCCTGCGCCGCATCGCGCCCGCTGTGCTGCGCAGAATTGTCGGCCTCTGCGGTACCAGGGTCGTCTCGGGGTTGTGCCTCCACCGTTGCGCGTCCCGCGGGACAGTCGAAGGGTCGGTCAATCTCTCTGGAAAATCAGATCGGAGGTAGTCAGCCTGATGTCAAGCGTTAAGTCGGGCCTGTCCCCCTACAGGGGGAATATTCAAAAATAGTCCAAAAATAATCCAAAAATAGTCTGGGGACTATTTTTGGATAATTTTTGGACCATTTTGGATTTTTTTTTGAGTATTTTTTATTTTTCGCCCAAAATCCCCCTGTAGGGGGACACGCCCGACTTACAGTCTAGCGGCCTCCGGCCTACCCCACCGCAGCGGCTCGCCCGCTGTCGTGCTCTGGAGCCCTCACGGAGAGAGATTTGGCTCGAGAAGGCCGAAGAGAATGATGTCGAGGGCCCCAGTCGTGATGCCTCACGGCGTTGCATGTTTTCTCACGTCGCACCTCAGAGGGAGTCCCCGGGGAGCCGTCGACACACACCCCAGGAATGCCCAGAGGGGCTCAGGGATTCGGGCATCTTGGGAATCTGTGCCCCTCAGGAGTTGTAGCTTTTTTTGACTTCTGACAATTGCCTGAGCCTTGGGGCACTGCGTTACGTGCCCAAGGCACCAGGGTGGATCCCCAGAGCAGCTCGAGCAGCAAAGCGAGACGATACCCAGTTGCCCGGGGCAAACCCCGCCGCGACAGTGCAGCTGAGTTTTTGGGACCCAGTCCAGTTCAGTGCAAGGTCTGAATCAGCGCGGTTCTCGAACAACACCTCCTCCTTGCCCGCAGCCTCATTCCCCCCCTCTCTTCCGCCCGCTCGAATGCACATGGGGGGCTTTTCCGGGGCCTCTTGGGGGTACGTCGAGTGTCTCAGGGCCGCTTTGAGCGGGATGGTTCTATTGCGCTCTCCCCTGGCTTGGCTGAACCATCACAGGGACGTCTTGGCGGGTCTTGGGGTCGTGTTGGACTCGTGTTGTCGCGCCGATGTTCCTGCCGAAAAGGGTTTCAGGAGCAACGTGAGGGGGGGATAGGCTGAGGGGGCAGGGCATCGACCCCCAATTGCCCTTAGGGGCCCGAAAACCCACCCCGCACATGAGCATGCATGTTCGCTATCATGGGCCCATCGCGGACCTGTCTGCGATGTATCGCCGATTCCAGCTGGATGTTCCCCTACCTGAGACAGCCCTACCTGAGACAGATCCCCGAAGTCATGATTTGTTCATAATGTCGACCCCCACAGGTCTCGATTCATGTCCCGGGACTGGCTTTTCATCCAGAGTAGGTTTTGACGGTCCGGGGGCCTGACGAGGGCACCCAGAGGCCGAACATATAAAAAACACCGCGTCGTGTTTTTCCCTACCTAGGCTCTGCCTAGAAGGGTTCTTACTCTCTTAGCTTAAAGGGGCCGGGCAGTGCTAAGCGCCCCGGGCGGTTCCCCCAGTCCCCTGGGAGCGGTTCCTCCCAGTCCCCTGGGAGCTTTAGCTTTAGCTTTAGCTTTAGCTTAGCTTTAGCTTAGCTTTAGCTTAGCTGTAGCTTAGCTTTAGCTTAGCGTTTCGCTTAGCTTTTCGCTTAGCATTTAGCTTAGCTTTAGCTTAGCTTTAGCTTAGCTTTAGCTTAGCTTTAGCTTAGCTTAAGCTTAGCTTTAGCTTTAGCTTTAGCTTAAGCTTAGCTTAGCTTAGCTTAGCTTTAGCTTAGCTTTAGCTTAGCTAGCTTAGCTTTAGCTTAGCTTTAGCTTAGCTTTAGCTTAGCTTTAGCTTAGCTTTAGCTTAACTTTAGCTTAGCTGTGGCTTAGCTTTAGCTTAGCTTTAGCTTAGCTTTAGCTTAGCTTTAGCTTAGCGTTACTGTTACTACTAATGCTGCTTTCCTAGGGGTTCCAACTCCTAGGTAGGGTCGCACTGGGATAATTTTTCATGACGCGAGGGAGTGGCCTTTGGCCCCCCCCACGCTGCTCCTCAGGATTCAGGAGAAACGCGTGTTAGGGCGCCCAACGAGCACTGGAGAGGGGAGCCCAGGCAAGTAAGAGAGCCGTGCATCCTGTGGACGTGCGGGCAAAGGAATGACTAAGCAGTAAGACATTATGGTGGTGCGCCAGCCGCGTCCTGGATGCAGACCAAGCTGCAGCGATGCAGCGGCATGACATCATGCTGCGTACACTTCGTTTGTCCACTGCTCTCTCTTGCCGCCCCTGCGCCGGCGAAGAGCCCCATTCCTCGGGAAGCCGTGCGCGTTGCATACGAGTTGCATACGATTTGTGCGGCGACCACTTTGTACCGACTGGTTCGTGTACCGTGCAACATTTGCGACCACGCTTCGGATCTTGCCCGTTCCGAGACGCTTGAGTCAGATGTGCGCGAGCAGTGCGCACGCGGGGTGCCCTTGGCTTCTCGCAGGCACCTGCAGTGAACAGCGTCTGAGCTATCCCTGCCCGCCTTGATAAACCAGAAGGAAGCTATCGAGTACAGGAGTCTGCTGGCCGTGCAGCTTGAACACACGTAGAGCCTTCGCTGCCTCCAAATTGATGCATTCGCCCACGCATTGAGGAGCCGTTTGAGTTGCAGTAGCGCTTTCGCAAGTGCGGCGGGGCAGCTCGTTCTTTGCCCGCTCATCACCAGGCACGATCACTCCAAGCTACACAGCTTCCCTGACGTCCTTGATCGATCATCACGTGTGCGCTTTCAGCTAGGATTTGTACAACTTCGTCTCGATTCACTTCCATGCCAGTTTTTGCTTCTCCAAAACGCTTGACTCCAACATAGGCTGCAACACCTGAGGCATGCTTCGATACCAGCAGCTTGTCGTCAGCGTAAAGTATGTCACGGGTAACAACGTATTTGGCTTCGCTTTCCAATGTTCGAGAGGTGAAGGCGTCGTGTAGCATACATGTCTGTATTGATATCAATACGTATTTTGGACATGGTCTACCCTGAACACTGCCAGCACTTTGTTGGTCTGCGGTAGAACGCCCGCAATGATCGATTATAACAACAGCAGCGCTGGGGATCAATACCTTTAACTATTTCCACCATTGCATTGGGGGGGGGGGGCAAGCCGAAAGGTTCGAGGGCTTTGCAAGGGCATCCCTGCTAGATGCTTCAAGGGCTTTGCCACATCCGGCATAATCAATATCATTCCGTCTCCTGCGGTTTGGTACGCTGCGTCATTCATCTTCCTATTGAGCATGATGGCATTTGCAGTGCCACTTGGCATCGACTCGTACGTGTGCATGTGCATCTTTCTCGGCGAGGACCATCGAGGAGCATCTTGGATCATCCAGCAATTATCCTGGCGAAGGGCCCAACCATATGCAATTGTGAGTATCGCCGCTGTGGGTGGCGCCTTCGGTGGATCTCGTTATGGGGTCAAGAAGCGTGTAAAGGGTGTGCCGAAAAGGGGCGGGGACGCATGCGGTCGCAGCCATGGGGGCCTTCGGTGGCGCTCCATATGGGGCCACGAAACGTGTGAGGGGTGTGCCGAAATGGAGCGGGGCCGCCATGCGAACGTCGCCATTGGGGCCTTCGGTGGAGCTCCCTCTGGGGCCACGAAGCGCTGAACTGAGTGGGGGAGACGCATGCGGACACCGCCACTGGGGCCTTCGGTGGAGCTCCCTACGGGGCCACGAAGCGCTGTATTGGGTGGGGGAGATGCATGCGAACACCGCCGCTGAGGCCTTTGGCGGAGATGCCTGTGGGGCCACGAGGCGCTGTACTGGGTGGGGGAGACGCATGCGGACATCGCCACTGTGGCTTTTGGTGCAGCTCCCCACGGGGCCACGAAACGCTGTACTAGGTGGAAACGCATGCGGAAACCGCCACTGGGGCCTTCGGTGGAGCTGGGTGGGGGAAACGCATCTGGACACCGCCACTGGGGCCTTCGGTGGAGCTCCCTATGGGGCCGCGAAGCGCTGCACTGGCTAAAGGAGATGCATGCGGACACCGCCACTGGGGCCTTCGGTGGAACTCCCTCTGGGGCCACGAATCGCTGTACTGGGTTGGGGAAACGCATGCGGACACCGCCACTGAGGCCTTCGGTAAACGCATGCGGACACCGCCACTGGGGCCTTCGGTGGAGCTCCCTATGGGGCCGCGAAGCGCTGCACTGGCTAAGGGAAACGCATGCGGACACCGCCACTGGGGCCTTCGGTGGAACTCCCTCTGGGGCCACGAAGCGCCGTACTGGGTTGGGGAAACGCATGCGGACACCGCCACTGGGGCCTTCGGTGGAGCTCCCTATGGGGTCTTGCGTGGCGCTGGTGTACCTCCTGGCGCGGCCGATCCGATTCCATTCTGGCTCCGCGCCGATGTGGCCCGATCCGACGCACGTGCCGACTCGATCCGATTTCCCGATCCGATGCTGATTGATCCTGCCTTAGTGTCAGCCACGTTAACGACTCAGTCGAGCCTCCACGCCAGCCACGGATTCATGCTTCTGCGACGGCCTTGGAACCCTGCCGTTGCGGGTCCAATCGGCGCTGGGGTATCAGACACCCCCGCTGGGATTCACTGGGCTGCATACATCCTTCAAGCTCTGATCCCAGCCAGTTTTCCAGAAGCCTGATCTGCAGGGGCAGGGAGCACTTAGTGTTGCCCAAGGATGGTGCTCTCGCCTGGCTCGGGTCGGCGCTGTCGCCTCAGCAACGGCCGCGCTCCCAGCTCGGGGCGATGCTCCCGTTCGCGCCAGGGGGCGTGCTCTTGGATGCGTGTGCGAAGAAGACGATGAGAGAGGCACTGCTGACGCTGACCTTCCGAAGGTCGCCCGCCGAGTCTCGCGGAGACTCGACGGAGACTCGACGGGCGACCTCGGGCGACCTCGTGGAGACTCGACGGGCGACGCATGATGGCCGAGCCGCCGTGCGTACCGACTCTGCGAGTGCCCTCGTCCGCGGATGGCTGCCTCTCGTCCTCCGCCGCGTGGCCCAAGCGCGTGCCTTCCGCTCACCGGTACATTTGACTGCACGGAGCTCTTCCACGCCCTCGGTAGCGATGGCCGTCGTCCGCTCCCTGGTTCTGGCTGATGCAACTCCTGGGAGGTGAAACTCTGATTTTGCCCCTGGTCCGAAGTCCGGCTTGATCCTGCCTAATTGCGCTCAGTCCGGCTTACTCCCGCTTCATCTGGTTTCATCTTGCTGAATCCGCGGCTCCTGGGGGCCCCCAAACGGGGTGGTGACCACACCGTGTGGTGAGTCGGTGGGGATTCGGGGTCACCGCACGGTGGACTCGAGTCCCTCTCCGAGGATGTCTTGGGCGACAGGGGCCTCCAGGGTCCCAAGACCCTGCGGTGACGGACCGTGCGGTGAGGTCTCTTGGGGTTCCGAGGTCACCGCACGGTCGTCCCCGTTGCGGGACTCCAGATGCCCAATCCAGCGTAACATCCCCCCGAGGGGGCCTAACCCTGTTGATAGGAGGCCACATGCGAACCCTGGCCCGCGACCCCACGATTTCTGAGGGGGGAGGTGGGGTTCACTTCGTTCGGGACCTCCCGAGGGAAGTGAACCCCACCTCCCTCCTCAGAAACCGTGCGGAGGTGGGGCAGGGTTCGCATGTTGTCCTCCTCTTTTGATCCCTCCGACGGAGACCTCCCCGCAGTTGCCTCCCAAGGTTCTCATCGCCCTGGCCCCTGCTGGCGCTGCGCTGCAGGTCCAGGACGTCGGCGTGCAGCACAACCTCACTGTCTGCAACGCCTACGCGGAGAGCAAGCCCCTCAGCGTCTACACCGTCAACCAGAAGGCGAAGCTCACGGAGGAGCCCCTGCAGTACAAGGCCTGCAAGGAGCGGAGGCGTCCAAGCGGGGGGGGCCCCGAGGACCACGGGGGCTGGATTCCCAACGGTCGTCGAAAGTGGTCTTTTTTGGGGGGGACTCCCCGATCCCCATCTGCAGTGGGCGCCTTCTCACTTCGAGAGTCGAGCGGTGGTCCCTCTTCCCTCCTCTTCAGGGGTCGGGCGGACGTTTTGTGTGTTTCAGCCCACTTTCTACTTCATATTTCTACCCACTTCTTCCTGCCGCCTGTTCTTACCCACTTCCTTCTTTCTGGTTCGGTCGTCCAGCGCCTTCCTGCTTTATGCCTCTGCCCACCCCTTCTGACTGGCGGACGACGTGGCCAGAGCCGTGAGGCGTCTCCCGGATTCCATGGGCCTTGGCTCTCCGATCCGCACGCCCCCCGGCCCCCTCACGCCCGCGTGCACGCCGCGGCGCGCGAGGGGGGGGAAGTGAGCAGGAGAAGGCCGTCTCAGAAGGCGGCGGGATCTCTCAGAAGCCCTCGCGCCTCCTGAGAAGTTCTTCGTGTCTTCGTGGAAGGCTTAGAAGACCCTTTCAGAAGGCCGTGGGACTTCTGAGCCTTCTGAGAAGGCCCGCCCCTTCTGACTTCCCCTCCTCGCTCGCCGCCGATGTGTCCCCGGCGATAACCGCTGTTACTGGACGGGGAGGGGCCGGGACCGTCATGTTTCGCGCCGGCGCCGTTTGGGAATGCTTGCAGGAATAACCAAAGACAGCTCGGATAGCAGATACCTACAGGGATCTGCTGCGACAAAGCGCACATACCTTTAGGGATTTGCTACGACAGAGCGCTTCCCTTTTCCTTCTCCTCCTAGTCCTCCTTCTATTCGTCGTCGTCGTCGGCGCCGGCGCTGGCGGCGTCGTCGTCGTCGTCGTCGTCGTCGTCGTTGTTGTCGTTGTCGTTGTCGTCGTCGTCGTCGCTGTCGTGGCGTTCCTCCTCTCGTTTTCCTAGTTTTTTTGTGTTTTCGTTTTTCTCCTTCTTTTCTCCTGCGAGCTGCTCTGCGCGAGGGCCGGCGAAGGGGGGACGGAATTGGCGAGGCGGGGCCGGGCCGAAACGATTTGTTCGATGACACTTCTCTGTTGTCGACTCGTGCTTTCTGGTGTGTGTGTGTGTGTGTGTGCAGGTGCCCCTGGGCCTGAGACTCAGCCACGCGCAGATGGGGGTGGGGGGAGGGGGGAGGGCTTCTTAGAAGCACCCCTGCTTCTTAGAAGGCGCGGGCCTTATCTATAGATGTAAGGCCGGCGCCTTCTAAGAAGCAGCCTCCTTCTAAGAAGCCTTCCCCCCTCCCTCCATCCCCTTGTGCGCACCGCCAAGAGACGGGGGACGGCCTCGCCGTCGTCGCCGTCCTCCTCCTCCTCCTGTCGCTGTTGTTCGGCTGGCACCCCTCTTTTAGGGTAGCTCTTTGGGTAGCCCAGCGCTCAGGTAGTACGGCGGCGCAACGAGGGATAAAAGGAAAAGGAGAAGGGAAACGCTCTGCCGTAGCAGATCCTTTTAAGTGTGGATCTGGCTCTGCCGTACCAGATCCCTATGGGTATCTGCCATGCTCGCGGTCTCTTGGCCAATTTTAAGCATTCCCAGACAGCGCCGGCGCGAAACGTGACACTACAAGGGGGCGGGGACGTATCTTTTTTCCTGCCCGCCCCACATCTTCGTCGCACCCTGCCAGGAGATCGTCCTCGAACTGGCGGACAACGAGCGCATCGATTTCAAGCTGGGAGGCCTGAGCGTCGGCACGTTCCACGTCGGCAACCTCCCCTTCGCCCCCACGTCGCTGCTGCTGGTCCCGTACCGCAAGGGCAACAGCACGATGGCGGCGACCTTCTATTCCCACGCGTTCTCGGTCGCGCAGGAGAACGCGCAGGTGGCGGTCGTGGACACCTTCGACGGCACCGCCACGGGCGTCCTGAAGATCGCGCAGGGCAAGGGCCGCGCGAAGGAGTCCGCGCAGCTGAAGCCGGGCACGGCCGTGAGCCTCACCCCGGGGGCCTACCAGATCAGCATGGACGATGCGAACAGCAAGACCATGAAGACGGTCGCCGGCGGGGCGCAGCCCCTGGGTGGGGCGGGGGTCGTGGGCCCCCAAGTGGTGTGGTGACGACGACGACGAGGAGGACGACGACGACGAGGACGACGACGACGACGCTCGCGAGCCCTCCTGGGGTCACCGACGCTTTTGGGACTCAGGTCGTTCTCCGCGGACGTCTCGGGCGATTGGGGCCTCCGAGGTCCCAAAGCCGTGCGGCGACGGACCGCTCGGTGAGGTCGTTGGGGACTCCGAGGTCACGGCGCGGTTCGCCACCACGCGGTTTTGGGATGCCCAAGAGTGTCACAGAAGTGGTGCTCCTCGGAAGGGGCTCGGGGGTTCTCTCGGAAGGCCTCTCGGACGGCGAAAGGGTTCGCAAGGGACACCCCCCGTGCTTTTCAGTTTGGGCGGGCGACGAGCGGTGTAAGGTACGCGTCGCCGTCATCGGGGAAGCCTGTCCCAGGGCGGTTTGGAAGTTTGTAGCCCTACAGCGGCACGCGGGGGTAGCGATGTTCCACCCGCCTTGGGACAGGCGGTGTGTGGCGCAGAGGGAGGCCCCCTTCGCGATTCGGCATTCATTCTGGGGACTTCGACGCCTGCTACGGACGCCTCTGTGGGGCTACATGCGTACAAGGTATGCGGAGAAGGAAGCATCATACAAGATCTAGTTCAATAGCGTCATGCTTGGAGATATATTGATGGAGCGTGTGGGTCGTGTATGAGAATGTGCGCTTGCCGACGCGCCTTGGGCGTATAGCTTCTTTCTGTCTGCCTGTCTGTCCGTCTGTCTATCTGTCTGGTCGCCTCCCCAGACATCCTATGATCAGGAGGGAAGAAAACACACAGACACAATTAATCTTCGATTCCCCAGAACAAATGAGAAAATATGGGAAGTGGGGGGGAAGGCGAAAACCCTAAAAATATGCGAAAATACGGGGAAACATTATATTTGTGTGTATTTATTTGTGTGTCCTGGGGCCCCCTTATATGATAAAGACACAAGAACAGGCGAGGCCCCAGAGGTCCCGACCGCTGCGCCGGGCGTGTCTTGTCGCCCCGCACCAGTTTTTTGATGGGCCCCGGGTCCCGACAACCCGGACAAGCCGAGAGCGAGGACGAGTTGCCAGACTGGAAGAATCATATCGTCGGAGATCTGGGTCTCCTCCTCCTCCTCCTCCTTTTTGTCTGTCTTGGAGAGGCGCCACCGAGCCTTGAGATCCGACGGCGCGAACAAGTCCAGCGTCGCGAGCCATCACGACCAGAGCCCTGGACACAGTCTTCCTGCAGCATTATACCCGAGCTGGCTCGATCCGTGATGGCCTCAGGGCCCAAGACCGGGCGCAAACGCCCGTCGTGAAAAACATGCAGCACCTGGATTTGATTTGAGGGATTGCCGAACAGTTCAGTGCGAAGGCCTGACGGCCGGAGCCGCCGACCCTGAAGGGGGACGACGACGGCGACGTTGACGACGACAACGACGACGACGACGACGACGACGACGACCATGACCACGACCACGACCCACCACGACGAGGAGGAGGACGAGGAGGAGGAGGAGGAGGAGGAGGAGGAGGAGGAGGACGCTCGCGAGCACTCGTGGGGGCCCTCGTGGGCCCAGTTGACCCTTCTTGGGGGGCTTTTCAGGTCGTCGAGGGCATCCTTTGGCTGCGTTGGGGCCTCTTGGGCCGTCTTGGGGACGCGTTGTGAAGTCGGGCCTGTCCCTCTACATCAGGAATATTCAAAAATAGTAAAACAATAGCCTGGGGGACAATTTGTTGGTTATTTTTTGATCATTTTGGGGTATTTTTGGAGTGCGCTCAAAATCCACCTGTAGGGGGACATGCCTGACCTAAACGTATTGGCGAACATATTGTTTCATTCAAGAGGCTTGGCCCCAGGAGAGTCCATGGTTGAGGCGTCGTGGACTTCTTGGGCACTATCTGGGGACTCTTTGGAGCGTCTTGGGAATTGCTTTGGGACCTGGTTGAGCGTCTTGGAGGCAGTTTTGAAGCGGTTTGGGAGCCGTCTTTGGGGGCCTCCTGGGGGCCTCTTGGGGGTCTCTTGGGGCGCATTCGGGGGCCTCTTTTGGGCCCCCAGGGGGCTTCTTGGAGCTTCTGGGGGGCCTCTTGGGGCGGAAGGATAGGATTTTTGGTTCGTGTTCTCCCTCTTGTCCTCTCTTGGGGCCCTGTTGGGGCGATCTTTGGCCGTCTTGGGCCCCTTTTTCGACCGTCTGGGAACCCTCTTGGGACGTCCTGGGGCCCTCGTAGGGGTCTCTTGAGCACTTTTGGGGCGGTCTACGGGGCCTCTTGGGCTGTCTTGGAGCGTCGGAAGCTCGAGAAGACGATGACCCCAGACATGATGAAAAACCTCAGGGAACCCATCGTCTTTTGCCCCTCGGGGCCTTCTTGGGAAGGCACTTGGGCCTCTCTTGGGGCGTCTCCAAGGCGTCTTGGGGCGTCTTGGGGCCATCGTAGGCGTCGTGGGCCAATCGTTTGGCGATTTGGGACCGTCTTGGCACGCCTCTGAGGCCACGGAGGGCAGATCTGGAAGCTCGGGAGCCTCCAGGGAGGCGCCAGGGAGCTCGTGCAACCCCCCTCTCCCTTCGGGAGCTTTGAGACGGGGGTCAATGCTAGCGAGGATCCGCCAGAGCGCCCGATCTTGCAGGATCCTGCTGGGCCAGGGTCGCACCGACCCGTCTTTGGATGCAGGATCCTGCAGGATCTTGCAGGATCCTTCGCGTTGACCTGGGTTTGGGTGCAGGATCTTGCAGGATCTTGCAGGCTCTTGCAGGATTCTGCAAGGCCCGACTGACCCGGGTCAGGATTGACCCGGGTCAGAAGATCCCCGATCCCTTGGAACGAGATTCTGGACACTGGGGGAGAGGGAGAGGGGGAGGGGGACAACCAATCTCGGGCCGGGCAGAAGGGTAGTAGAGTCAGGCGATCGCAAACATGGATCAAGGGGGCGTGGATTAGCGACGGGTCCCGCTTCCATGGGGAACCGCGGATGTCCGCCGCCGAGCGCGGCGGCACCGGCCGCATTTTCCATGGATCGCAAATCCATGGATCGCTAATCCATGTTTGCGCGCCTCCGAGAAGGGTAGTACAGGGAAGGGGGGGGGTACGAAAACTGCTGCATGCAGCTGGTCTCGGCCCCGCCGCCGGGCCCATGCCTCGATACATGAGTGCCTCCCGGCGCCAGTGGGGCGCCAGGAAAACCAGCTAAGTGAGCTGATTCTCTATCCTACCCTTTAGTCCCCCCGAGAAAGAAAGGTCAAGGAGGGCTTCCCCTCGCAGCTGCTCATGGAATGCCCCGCTATTTTTCTCGTACCGCTAGTGGCCTCCGAATTCCCCACTGATGGCCCGCTGATGCCCCGCCCGCTACTGCCGACGAATGGCCACACTAAGAGCATGTTTTAAAACCCTCTGGGTCATACCGCGCGTTATGCCCCCCCCCTCACCCATAACGTAACGCTCCCCCCCTCCCCCCGTTGTGCGCCCGAGGCGCTGCCATTGTGATACCCACGGGCTACTGAGGTGCTCGTCGTCGATGTCGTCGTCGTCGTCGTCGTTGTCGTCGTCGTCGTCGTTGTCGTCGTCGTCGTTGTCGTCGTTGTCGTCGTTGTCGTGGTTGTTGCTGTCGTCGTCGTCGTCGTCGTCGTCGTCGTCGTCGTGGCTTGAGTCTCAGTCCTCGTCATCGTCGTCCCGTCATCGTCCCTGTCATCGTCGTCGTCCTCATCCTCCTCTTCCTCGTGGCAGTCGTCGTCCTCGTCGTCGTTGTCGTCGTCGTCGCCGTCGAGGGCCTCGAAGGGCCTGCAGACGCCTCCAGAGGTCTCTGGAGACTCCCTTAAGCCTCCGGAGACTTCTGGAGACCTTCACCTTCAGAGGCGGCTGTCGTCTTCGTCCTCGTCCTTGTCGTTGTCCTCTTCCTCGTCCTCGTCCTCGCCCTTGTCCTCGTCCTCGTTCTTGTCGTCGTCGTCCTCTTCCTCGTCCTCGTCCTCGTCCCCTTCCTCGCCTTGTCCTTGTCGTCTCGTCGTCCTCGTCGTCGTCGTCGTCCTCTTCCTCGTCCTCGTCGTCGTCGCCGAGAGCCTCGAAGGGCCTCCAGACGCCTCCAGAGGTCTCCAGAGAACTCCCCAGGCCTCTAGAGACCTTTGGAGACCCCTCAGATACGTCGGTCGTCGTTGTCGTCGTCGTCGTTGCCGTCGTCCTCGTCGTCTTCGTCGTCGTGCTCGTCCTCGTCGTCGTCGTCGTCGTCGCCGTCGTCGTCGTTATCGTTGTCGTCGTCGTCGTCGTCGTCGTCGTCGTCGTCGTCGTCGTCTTCGTCGTCATCGTCGTCGTTGTCGTCGTCGTCCGGCGCTCGAGCTCCCTCGTCGTCCAGCAAACGCCAGCACAGAAAAATGCTCGAAGGAGGATGTGGTTGAAAAAAAAACACTGGTGCTGCACCGTAGCCATTTTGGCTCAAGCCACTCGACTCAAGCCATGTTTGCTTAAGTTTAGTTCTTGCGATGGTTCGCCCCCCGCTCGTAACGATTGGCCGCTTTGTGCGCCCAGCAGCTTGCTGCAGCCAGAGAGCATTCCCCGACCGCGCTGTTTTGCACGCCCAGCGTCTCTGCACCACAGTGGACACAAGCCGGCACGAGATGCACCAGTCTTCAAAGTCATGTAGTGTGGAATATTCGCGCTCAATTGCGCCAGCACGCGAGGAAGTCGACTTTACCGGCTCACTTCGAGAAAATGACAGCGTTGTTCCCGAAGATTTTGGAGAGCAGGTGTGCCCAAAGTGTGGTTTGCGAAAGGCGATCCATAATTTTCACAAGAACCGCGCTCTGAAAAGTGGACGGCACTCTTATTGTAAGCCGTGCTGTTCGGCAATGCATCGACATTGGAGACATTCAGTGCAGGGCACTGTCTCTGCATTGGCATTAAGGGCGCAGTACAGGTCGAAAGTTCGGGGTATGCATTGCGATATCTGCGCGGACAGCATACATCACATGCTTTCCCAACAGTCGGGCAGGTGTTTCTATTCTGGCGTTGAGATGGAATGCGCTGTCCCGAACTCCCATTGGCGAGTGTCCCTTGAGCGCGTGGATAACCGAGAAAGCTACACTGTGGAGAACTGCGTGCTGATAGCGGCTGAATTCAATTCTGGCGATGCCAGCCGAAACAAGGTAGGCCTTCACAAAGTGTGTGGTACAGCGCAATGGTCTCGCAAGAAAATATCAGACGTGTTTACGCTGCGGAGCAGCGGAGCTGATCGCGCGCGACTGGAAGAGCTCATCCACGAGGCGCGTGCTCCCAAGGCTGCCCGCATGCGTCTGAGTGGAGCGAATGTGGGTGCGCAGGAATGCGCATCCCATTTTTATTGTGATAAGTGGGCTGGCAGGGGGCGCATGGAGCCCTGCACTGATATATCCCTCCATTGCCGTGGATGCACGCGAGCACACACATTCACATATTCCCGTACACTCCGGGGCAACATGATGATCTTATTGAGTGGAGCACGAAAGCGAGCCTCTAAACGAGGACATGTCTGCGATTTGAATTTGGATGTATTGTTGGACAAACTGTGGCAGCAGCAGGGGCGCTGCCACTACTCAGGAGTTCCATTGCAATATCTGGTTCCGAACTCTGACTGGCGAGTGTCGCTCGAGCGTCTGGACAATGACTTGGGATACACTCCTGAAAACACAGTCCTGATTGCACATGAGTTCAACACCGGTGATTGGAGCCGCGGGAAATGGACGCATGTGGTGCGTGGAACTGCGCAGAGGTCCAGGGAGAAAGTTGAATTCATTTGGGGCCGCGTACGCGCTTGCACTGCGCAGGCTGCCGAAGACCGTTTGAGTACAACGCATTTCGGTGATCTCAGGTTGCCTTGAGGATGCTTGGTGTGAATGCCGGAAACCAAGTTGTGAAATCGCCCAGGTCAGAAGCGCGGTGGGGAGGCGCGAATCCAGGTGCGTTGTCTATGACCAAGGTTGACAGAACAATCGTACCCATTGGTGCTGCGCGTATGCAGTGTGCAGTACATATGCGATGTGGTGCACGCGGCTGCGGCGATGCATACTGTGCTGCGCACTGTGGTGCTTTCTGTGATGCGTGCTGGCGCTGAGGTACGGGAACCACAGGGCCGGGGGGGGCGGCATTACGTCATGCCCTGCCCCTAGCCCCCCCTCCCCCCATACGCCTGTTATGGTCGTGAATTTAAACATGCGCTATGGCCCCGCAAATGTCCCACTTAAAATGTGGCCCACTAATGAATTTAGCCCGCTAATGGCCCATTAATGAACTTGACCCTTAAATGACCCACTAATGGCCCACTAATGGTCTTGGATGGCTCGCTTCTCGTCTTTCTTTCGCGCCGTTGCGCCTGCAGAGATCATGAGTGCCACGGCAGGCGGTCATTACCGTGCTAGCAACCAGGTCCGAAGGTACTGTGAGGCAGGGCCTTCCATGAGAAAGGTGGAGGGGGACAACATCTCATCTCACACGCCTTCGGTTACAAATCATGAGGGCCTTGGAGAGCACTAGCGTCGTTTAGCGTCTGGTAAACGACCAGATAGCGCCGATTTAGCGTCGACTCGCCTCGAATAGCGCTGCTTAGCGTCGACCTAGCGTCGATTAGCGTCGATCTGCAAGAGCCAACAAGGTTGTACAGGAGGCTCCCATGAGTTGCCACTCGCCCCCGGCAAGCGGGGGCCAGCGGAAACCGCTCGTCGTCCGCCAGCAGAGGGCGCTCCCGCTCCCCCTCGCCCACCTGCCTCTTGACGGCGCCCCGCCGAGGTCTCGCTCTCGGCCACCGATGGCGGCAAGCACGTCGTCATGCGCGTGGGCGGCAGCGATGGCATCCCCCAGGATCGAAGGGCGCCAACCCCAGTCATGCTCGCGTCGTTACTTACAAAATGACGCGACTGGAGGCTTTTGGTCGTCTGCGGCCTCTGGGGGCCCTCACCCGGCCCCGCGAGCGTCAAATATCTAGTCAGGACGAAAAACCAGCCGGGGAAATGGGTCGGGACTCCTGTGGACACCGTCTTGAACAAATCAGGACATCGCATACCCGGGCACCGATCCTTGGCCGCGCCCAGATCATTGGAGGCCTGGTTTTTTTTCGGTCGCGATCGTCAGGGACCGATCGGCACGCCAATCTGGCCGCGACCGACCGCGGCCGATCCCAATCGTGGTCGCGGCTGATCGGTCGTGGCCGGTTTTGAAGCAAATCGGTCGCGATCAAAACGGGAATGTGCAGCACCATCGGCAGCGACAGATCTCGCCCGTCGCGACCAGCAACATGTCGGCGTCTAGCGAGAAGGGGGGCAGACCTGGGAGCGTCAGCAAACGGCTCGGAGGAGGAGAGGCCTGCCACGGGGAAGGGGTGCAGGCCTCCGTGGGGAGACCACGACGTCGGGGGACTGGCATGCACTACACCCGCAGACGTGGTGGCGGCGATGTAGGCAACGGCGATGCGGGCTCCTGCTCCTGTCGGGTGGGGCCGGCTCGTGGCTGGCCCGGTTTCGGGAAGGCGCCGCTCGTGTTTTCCTGCGAGCCGTTCTGCCCGAGCTCCGCGTCGCAGAAAGATGACGGGCCTGCTTTCCACCACCACCACCATGAGTTGGAGGGGGGAGGGAGGTGGAGGACGAGGAGCAGGACGAAGGGGAGGAGGAGGAGGAGGAGGAGGAGGAGGAGGAGGAGGAGGAGGAGCAGGACCCCCTCCCCCTCCAACTTATCTTGGTGGTGGTGGAAAACAGGCCCATCAGAAAATCAGATTCCCAAGATCGCCGTCAACCAACATCGCCGCCAGCGTGGCCTTTGCTTGGAAATCGATCGGTACCGATACACCGCTGCTCCCCAGACCTCTCCCCGGGTGCGTTCTGAGACCAGAATTTCGAGGCGGCTCCAGGCGGTGGCGACGAGGCCCTCCCAGGAGGCCCCAACAAGGGGAGAGCGAGGGAAAGGGGTAGAGGCATGGGTATCTCTTTCTCCTCCGACTTGGTGCACACCAACACCGATCCGCGTCGCCGGGCCGCGCCCCGCTCGAGAAGCTTCGACGTGGCTCTCCAAGGCGCTTGCATCCTTTATCGCGCATCCTTACGACAGGGACCGACTGTAACCAACACCGCCGCCAGGGTGGCCTTGGTGCACGCCTGCACCAGTCCTCGTCGTCAGGGCCGCTGCACGGGGCCCATGGCCGCCGCACGGGCCCAGGGCCGCTGCCACCCCCGACACCGGATCCTCGTCGCCAGGGGGCTGCTGCACGGGCCCAGTCTCCATCGAGGACGCAGTAGCTCCTAACGCTAACAATGCGATGAAGACGTGACGTGGCCTCACTGACATAATATATTCAATGTCTATATACATATTTTTCTTTTTGCATTAGGGCTCAGAAGTATGGGCGGTTTGGTTCGATACGTTTGCAGACCCCCTATCCCTAATGTTCCTGCCCCCTCCTGCACGAGCTCGCCTCCCAAAGGGTTAGGCGTCCATTGTATGGCCGATCAGCTCGTGCCCAGCCGAGCGGGCGCGTGCGCTGGCCGGGCCGCTCCACGGGCGGCCTCGGGAGGAGGGCCAGTTTTGGGCGGCGCGCCCCGGGGGGGGGCGGAGGCAGAGGGGGCAGGGCCTCTCCTCCGGAGGCGACGGGGCTTCTCAGGAGGCCCTCGGGCTTGCCGAGGGGGGCCGTCTCTGTGTCTGAGGCCAGGAGCGACCGAATGACGTACGCGTGCATGATTCCGCGTCGGTCTCGAAGATACGGGTTGCACGCACGTTCGTATCACGAGGCCGGTCTCGCGGACTGGAGGGCCGTACTCAGGTGCGTGGTTGGGGTCGCGCGCGTCTTTTTCATGGGCTTCTTAGGAGAAGGGCCCACCGTGCTCCTTCGAAGGGCCCGAGGCCGTCGGAGTTTCCCGAGGCTCCCCGCGCCCCCCTCCCGGGCTCGCCGCCGGCAGTGAGGCAGCGGCGCCCCTCCCGCGCTGCCCACATCCGCTCACAGGCGGTCCCATAGACCACTCGATACAGTGACGTTTTTAATACATGCTCCGCGAGCGGATCATGTATTCAAAATGCAGGGATTTAGTATTAAAAACAACGATGAGTTCATGCATGAATTTATTCATACATTGAGCATGTATCAAAAATCGTATATTCAAAACAAATCCTATGTATTGAGAACTGCCCTGTATAGGGGTCCACCCTGGCCCACTGTCCGAGGTGGGCCCGGCCGAGGCGACGAGAAGCCTGCAGGGAGGCCCAGAAGAGTTCGAGCAAGTGCCGGGTGCAGTGGAAGCCCATGCCAGGGAACACCCCTGCTTGCCTCCAGGGTGCCCTGGGGTTCCTGGCTTTCGATGGTCTTGCCATGGGAAGCGTGACGTCCCCACACCCGAAGTCGGTGGACGTCCCGGGGTCTCAGGGTTGGGTTTCTCGTGGAAGGCTTCTCGTGGTCGAGCTCCTGCTGCAGGGCAGCCGTCGTCTCCACGGGCCCTCTTCCGGAGTCCCTGAGATCCATTGTCGCGACAAGAGTGCAGCATTCGTGCAACGACGCACCCGCAACCCTGCACCCCATTTTCCTGGCGGATTTTTCGAGCCCGACCGACCCACAGGGGCCCCTGGGTCCGATCGTGAAACGTCGCCAGGCGCGGAAAAATGGCGACGCCAGGATCTCGTGGGCGGTGCCGTCCCAGGCCCCCCACGCTGCCATCTTTGCACGACGTCGAGGTCTCGACCCATCCCCTGGGGGCTGGCGAGGCCCCCAGAGGCGGGAAGCTACCCAAAACCGCCCGCCGTGCGATTTTTTCTCGGCGCGAGGGGGTCTGGGTTCCCTGCCTTTCGATGCAATGTAGCTCCTGGCAGCGTAAATTCAGCATCGGCGCGGGTATGTCCGTGGTCGAAAACTGGCATAATCTGGCATAGTCCCGCCTAATTCGGATTCATCCCGCTTAATCTGGCTTTATCTGGCTTTATCCTGTGCCTAATCGCGGGCTTCATGTGGCTTCGTCTAGTATAGTGGGGTTGTTATCGGGGCAATTCGCCCTGAAACGTTGGAGTTGCTTCCTACAGTCAAGATCGATGACAAGGATCGGTAACCTTCCTCTGGGTACCCTTGCATCCTTGTCCTCTCCGGTTCTTCCTGAACCACTTACGATGGGGGCCCCCGCTCGCAAAGCTTCGACAGGAGCGTCCAAGGGGCTTGCATCCTTATCGCTTGTTCTTACCACCAATTTTGTCTGCAACGCCAGTGCTCCAGACAGCACAACCCGCCACACTGCCCTGTTCGCCCTAGTGTAATGCCAGCACACCCCGGCCAGTACACCCAGCCCGACCATTTCCCCAGGACCGGTTTTTCATCCTGATTGGGGGGCGCGTAATGGGGGGCGAGACTCCTCCTCCTCCTCCTCCTCCTCCTCCTCCTCCTCCTCCTCCTCCCCCTCCGCTATTTCCGCTATTTGACGCGCCGTAAGGGTCACAGCCCTGAAGCGCAGCGCGGCGGCCGTCGGCCGCCGACAGAGGGGGGGTGAGGGAGGCCCGTTTCAATCCTGGACAGGGAAGGCCTGGAGGAAAGGGAAAGGGAAAAAGACGGGCCCGTTGGGCCCAACACCGGTCGGCGAAGGGCCCGAGGGGGCGAGGGCCCGCGGGGCCCTGGCCTTTGGCTCGGCGAGGGCCCACCCGCCTCGGTGGGACCTAGCTGAGCTCGTCCGCGTGGTCGGGGGCGGCGGGGCCCTCAGGTCGCGTCGAGGGCGGCGACCCCGCCCGCCCCTGGCCTCCGTGATGCGCTCCCTCTGGTCCAGCGCGAGGTGCTCCGCGTCGCACGTGCGTCCGCGGTGTGCACCTGCCGGTCCAGCGCCTGGAGCTCTGCGTTGCCGCAAGTCTGCAGGGCTCCGCTCCTGGCCTCCCAGCTGTACGCCAGCTGGCCAAGCGCGCGGAGCTCCGCGTTGCCGCCGGCCTCCATGATCCGCTCCCTCTGGCCCAGCGCGAGGTGCTCCGCGTCGCCGTGCGTCGCCGGGTGCACCTGCTGGTCCAGCGCCAGGAGCTCTGTGTTGCCGCCGGTCTGCGGGAGCTCCAGCGCTTGGCCTCCCAGCTGTGCGCCAGCTGGCCCAGCGCGCGGAGCTCCGCGTTGCCGTCGGCCTCCATCGCCTGGCCCCCAGCGCGAGGAGCTCCATGGTGCCCTCGGCCTCCGCGATGGCCCCCAGCGCGAGGAGCTCCGCGATGCCGTCGGCTTCCGCATTTTCTCCTTCTGGCCCAGCGCGAGGCGCTCCGCGTCGCGGTCGGCCTCCTCGATGTGCCAGTGAGCCTGCCTCGTTGCTGGTGGGCTCTTCGTCTTGTCACAGTCACCTTGGTCATGAACTGGTTGACTGCGTTGGGCTCTTCTCCTGGTACGGGTCTCAGCCGATGAAGTAGTTGTCGTGCTGGTTAAGGTCGATGGGGGTCGGCTTGTTGCTGGTAGGTGGAATAGATTGCGGGCGCACTCTGGCCTCCATGCACCGACTTCAAGCAGGGTTCATGGCGGCCCTGCCTCGTCCCGCTATGGCTAGGGGTCACGGTGCCCTCGGTGGGGGCGAACCCCAGGCCAGGTGATTCTTCTGCTGTCGATGAGGAAGGTCAACGCTGCCCTATGCTACGCCCTTGGGCGCTCGGGAGCTCCGTCTCCGCCATGGGAATGGTGGGGGTGGCGAGCTAGGGCGGACCGCGGGGGCGCGGGCAGTACTCGTCCTGCCCCCCCCCTGCCCCTCACCATCCCCCCTGGTGGGCGCGGGCAGTCCTCGTCCTGCCCCCCCGCCCTTCGAGCCCGTCTCGAAGTTTGATCCTTGCCTCACCAGGGCAACGTTGACTGGTACTTGGTGCAGTTGGGGTCATCGGCTGGTACTTCTGAGCCCTGGCTGTACGGCGGCCGTGTCCGTCACTATGCAAAACGTGGCGACGTGAGCCTGGGGTGTTCCCTCGCATTCGGGGCTTTCCCAGGTCTTGCGTCCTGACAACTTGTGCAAAACTTGGCGACGTAGCCTGAGGTGTTCCCGCGCATTCGGGGCTTCCTCAGGACTTGCGTTCTGATTCTTTTGTACCTGTCGTCAAGGCGCTTCGTCACGATCCTCGTTGTCAGCCTGTGCCCGAACAGCTCCTGTCGAGGTGGTGGCCCTGCCGCTTGCCTTGTCGGGTCGGTCCTGCCGGGCCCACTCCCTTGCCTCTTCCAGCCAGGTCGGTGAGCCGTTCCGCCTGCTGCCTCGATAGTAGTCCTGACCCATCTCCCTGGTCTTGTAGTGGTCGAGCGGCTGGAAGAAGTGGGCCACGTCGTCGTCGATGTGCCACCCCTGGACGTCGTTGGGCGAGTCGCCAAAGCGCCACCTGATCTGCTTCACCAGTGCGGTCGCGATGGCCTGGCACATCCTGTTCGGGTACTCCTTGGCCGGCGCGGTGCGCCACTGGCCTTCATCGTTGATGCCTGCCAGCTCCGCATGGTAGGAGGTCG